AGGTGAAAACCCCAAAATATCCCTGAGTGAACTTATTGATGAATGCAATTGCAATGCACTTACCAAAACTTTTAACGTTAAATCAACACACATATTTATATAGTAAACCCGTGCGATACACGAGTATCCACAATAATAAAAAAATTTATAAATTAAAAATTTAAAATTAATAGTAATACAGTTTACTTATTTTAATTAATTGAAATGCACCGTGAAATTTTGATTGTCCCAAAAGTACATAAAATATGGATATCTAAAATATTAAAAGCACCTAAAATGTTATATAACATGTTAAGAAATACTTAAAATGTTCTATATTGTTCTTAAAAGAATGTGAAATCACATACAATTTTCTAAACTATTATTAAGAAAAATGTCTAAAATACATGTTCCATGCTATTATTTATATACATAATACAACTTCAAATAACTTTATATTCAAATCATATGTATTTATAAAAAATATTTAATATATCTTATAGGTGAAAGTATGAAAGTGATATTTCAAGAAAAGTATGAAAATTAATATAACAGTGTGAAACTAATATTTTAAAAGCAAAGTGTGAAGATGTTGAGGGTCTTGTGAGATGCTTGTCAGTAAGTGAGAGAAACCTTAAGAAATTTTTATAAAAGAAAAATAATGTAAATGAATATAGAAGTGTGAAAGTATTATTTTAAAGAAAAGTATCAAACTGTTAGAGGATTTACTAAGATAACTTGGAAATAAATTTAAAATTATGTCATACCATAATTTTAGAATTAATATCATGGATTTCCTCCGTCAATTTATTTTTAAATAAAATTTAAGCAACTTTATCCATAATTTTATATAGATTAAAAAGTGAAAATAAATTTATTACTTAAGAATATTTTTAGTGGGTAATTCATATTATTTATAATATTTACATTTTTTTTATATTTTATTACTTGTGTGAAGTTGGATTGGAAGCTATATTCCAGTGAGACAATTTGCTTGAGGCCAAAGTTTAAAACATCTCAATGGTCTTATTATTGCTCCATTTTATTTGCAAGTTTGCAACATAACACAAATAATCTTATGTGGCATGAAAAATATCTAGAAGGTTTTTTTTAGATGTAGAAGTTATTCTAAACAAATTCTATTATATTGTATTATTTATCCAGTTTACATATTTTTCAACAAATTACAATTTTACACATCACAAATGGCACCACAATTAACATTAACCATTGGAGACACAATTTTTTTAATTCCTTTCTGCATGTCATACATCACAACATGAACAACATTCCATTGGAAATGCTCTAAGCGGAGCTCACATGGACATGTTCCGTGATTCATCTCCCTGAGTCACATAGATACAAGTTATTCTAAAAAAAATCCAATTATTTTTAACAGTCACTCTTTTTAACTCACATCTAGCTTAACTTTAACCCAACAACTATCCTTAATATTTTCAATATCATTAAATACAATTAACAAATCTCTTAACATTTCATCAACTTTAATTTACTATTCAACTACTCACATAATTTTAACGAACTATCACTTTATATCATCTTTCCTACTTTTACATTAAATCAACTTTAATTATTTTATTTTAAATAGTATTTTTAAATAAATTCAAAATCCCACTAACAATTACAACACAATATTTCTTCATAAGAAATCAAACCAAACAGAAAAATTCAAACAAAATAAAATATATTGAATATCCCAACAAGGGACTTAGGTTCAAAATTAGTTGTGGATAATTTTTAAAAAAAAAAAAAAAAAANAAAAAAAAAAAAAAAAGCGGTTAGGGGTATTACTGTCATTACAGGCTAGCCTTCTTGCAGGGGCACCTAAAGCAGCAAGTGTTCTAAAAAGCATGGTCAAAAAATGGTCACACTGCCAAAAAAAACAAACACACACACACACACACACACACACACTCATACAGAGCATGGAAAACAACAACATATGATTCAAAAGACACTTGTGTGTTTCTTTCTTTTCCTTTTCTCCCTTTTTTTTTTTTTAATTTGCAGACAATAACAGATGCTGGGCAGCTCCATGTCTGTCCATTCTCCAGTGCTCATGTGATTTAGAGTAAGAAAAATAGAGAGAGAAACCATAAAGAAAGAAAAAGGGAATTGATTTAGGCATGCAGCAAGTTCACTTTTTGCACCCATTATTGAACTTTACTGTTTGTGGGCTTTGTTTTCGTTGGATTTTTCTTGAATTAATCCACTCTAAACGACTTTTTTTTTGACGATTTTTCAAGAAAAAGAATAGCTATAATTTGACTACCGTGTAGCTTTTATTCGCAATTTTATTTTATTTTTTTCCTAAGCTTATCTAAAAGTGTGAAGGAAATTTTGCCAAACAAGCCTTTGAGCACAAGAGAAGGAGCAAAAATGATTGCTTTTGGTCGCAATTTGTTGGGTTTTTCTTTGGCTTCACTCTTCTGAGATCTGAAGTGGGGTACGGCTGTTTTCCATGGAAATTGTTCCTTCGTTGTAAAAATCGAGTCTTTAATTGTTCTTGCATCATATGCTCTGAATCTGATTACTGTCTCTTTGTTTTTTGCTCTGTGGTTTTTCTGCGGTTGTTCGTTGAGATCTGATTTTCTGCTTTTCGTTGAAACTTGTTTGCTCCAGAAAGTACATTGGATCAGTTGTATCGAGGGTTTTTTTTTTTTTTTTTTTT